AGTTTAGCCCAGACATATCAATAACTTAGTTAGAAGCTATTTTCAGAAAGAAGCCTGAAGCGTATATATATATACAATATATGAAGGCTGGAAACCTATCTATAACTTTGATGGAGACAAAAAATGTTAGTTACCCTGTCTGCAACTGTATCCAAATTGGCCATCTGTGCTGGAGCCTGAAAGAGTCTTTACAGATTTTGATGCCATGATAATTGAGAGCTGACCGGGAATCGAAACGGGAACAAAAACGAGGGCTAACAGCTCAGTAAATGATCACTGAATGGTTATATTTAAATATCTGACATTTGAAAATCGACGTTCGCACACTCAAGCTGTGTTCAGTTTGAAGTCGAATTGATCGGATACATCTATTTATATGAATATTTTCTTACTCAAACTTATTTTTCAAAGTAGATATTTTTTATACGAAAATGGAACACGATCAATAATGGAGAATATTGAACCAAATGATTTGATCACTTCAACACACTTTGTTGGAATCAAAGTCAGTGCAGCAGATGATGAGCCACATCAGGAAAAAAAACAAGAGCAGAACCATAGAACAGAAGTTTATTTCCGTCATTTGGGCAACATGGCCTGTATGACAATTACAATTTCTGGTTTACACATATACGTGACTTACATGTGTGGTTCACGGTTTCTAGTGAATGTACAGGTATCAAATCTACGTTCGAAAGCTTTAAATTGGAAACAAACATCTTAATGAAGACACCTACTACAAGCAGACAAATGTTTGAATAGTAATAATTATGACTTAAGGTTAAGAATTGACGCCGAAACATAACAGATTTATACCCCTAAGAAACCACAAGAGGTCTCCTAGTGCCTTAGTAAAGGGTCCATTTCTAGTATCTGTCTCATTGCATCATCACATCGCTGTGGATCGTTGCTATTGCAAGGAAGCAAAGCCAAGACATCCGAGAGAGCTGGACTTTTTCAGTTTGTGGCGTAAAATAACATTCACTCAACATAGGTGACGTATTCAACAATAGTCCATCTATGTCACGGCGACTTGCAGATAACCCGCATTCCAAATGGGGAAGTTAAGTGAGTGTATGATTTACAGAAATTATGGACACACTTTGATTTGAATTCAAAAGGACACAGAAACAAACTGAACATTGTGACAGGTTCACAAGTGTGACAATCTTAGGTTGTGTCATGTGACAGTCACGTGCACGAAACTGTTCCATCATGGATTCCTCCCAGTGATGGCCGAGGTGAAGTACAGGATCGAAGCCAGCCGATTGTGTGACCACGTGACACCCTCACAAGTGGCAATGGTTCACCAAGTTTCATAAAAAGCTGCAGAGTTAGTTTAGAAACGCTGCAGGCGAAATATTCAGTTTGTTGTGTGTTGGACGGATAATTTTAATACTATACACATACCTGCCCACGCTGGGTAATGAGGTGTGCGGGTAATAGCTCCACACCAGGACGAATGGCTTTGACAACAAATATCACAGCTACGAAATGGTGCACGGGAACACAAGCTTTAAAAATAAATGCAAAACCGTTTGTAGGCAGATCCGATTGTATACTCCCGATGGAGCTGAGAATGACATTCAAATACAAACTGATGTCAACCGGAGCATTATACTCTGTGATGTGGAACCTTACCCTTAATAAGTGTCAGACAATTATCATTATTATAACTACATGGACCGGTATTTAAACTTCATATCATCAAAACATTGGAACTCCGTGCATTCGTCAAGTTATAGAACCAAAGTACGAGGCAAACACTGGCAATTTGTTGTCGTCGATGTTGCTAACTGAAGGGGATAATCCCTCCAGCCCGAGGACACGTCACCAACTGATTACTCAATACATGTTGAGATTTCAAGTTGGATAAAACCACTCTTTCCTGACATGTATTGATCGAGGACACCGATCACGAATATAACATGTTGGCACTATGCACATTGTTGAGCCAGTAATAATGCCTGGTTGTAGGACCACGAACCAAGGAGGGCTACATTAATAGCCTAGCTGTCCAGATAATACTGGCTGTCAACCACACTGTTTTGTACAATCTATGAGATGAGATACTTTCAGTGTTTAATTTGCTGTCGAGCAAGTATTGTGCCATAGGAGGACATGGTAACACTAGCGATTGATTGGTGTTTATTTTGTAACGCAATTATAACGTACTTCGTCAACGTCTGCCGTCAAATAACCATTTCTATTAAGATTAGCAAAAGATAAATGAGAGTAATCGAAGAATTATTTTGAGTAAAATAGGAATTTTTTTAATACAGGACGATGAAATGATCGTATTTTTACTGGGTGAAACTACTCCACAATAATTTCACTTACAATGTTACATATCATTCCGGAAATCCATGTCCATGCACATCGAGATATACCTCTTCGAATATTAATTCCTCATAAAATATGCGGGCGCGTGAATGTTGTTCAATGCTGCACGTTTTAAATAGACGAATGAGGGTCAGAAAAACTAGTTACTGAAAGCATGTTTTTGTTTGTTGTTTAACGCCGCACTCAGCAATATTCCAGCTATATGACGGCTATAATTATGTCTGTAAATACTCGAGTCAGGACCAGACAATCCAGTGATTGACTTCATGAGCATCGATGGGATGGGATAGGATGACATGAATCAACCAAGTCAGCGAGTCTGAGCACCCGATCCCCTAAGTCGCCTCTTAATACAAGCGTAGTCGCCTTTCAGGGCAAGCATGGATTGCTGAAGACCTATTCTATCTGGGATCCTCAGGGGCCACTGAAAGCATGGGTAAACCAGGTATGCAATCCAAAGTCACAGAGCCTGGCCATTCAGTCTCAATGTCATCTTGCTCTTGTGATTTTCATGGGGAGCTGTGGGATGCCAGGTTAAAATAGGCCCCACCAACCAATGTTTGTCTATGAGACTGACTCAAGGGTAGGGCCCTCCTCGAAATATCAGTGACTGGTTTGTCTCTATTATTGAAAGGACATTGTGGTATTGTAGTGGGGTGTTGTTCATGGGTACGACACAAAACTCACACTTTTGAAAGTCACTCAGTTAACTTGGACAAGATGTTTTTGACTTTTTAAAATTTCCCTGTCCAGACTTAATTATGTGTGTTTTTTAGGTAGAAGTGAAATTTTTGTATGGCTGAAGTCAACAATATTCCAGCTATTTAACGTAGCCTGTAAATAATTGAGTCTGGGCCATACAAACCAGTGACTGAAAGCATGAACAATGATTCACGCAATCTAGCATGATGACATGCAATGCACATGATGTCAATCACTGGATTGTCTGGTCCAGACTCGATTATTTACAGACCGCCGTCATATAGCTGGAATATTGCTGAGTGCGGTGTCAAACAACAAACGACAACATGCAAAGAGCTAAGACAACCATCCTGACCACCTGATGGGTGTGGATCCACATGCACAGGAAAGGGGACACCTACCCTTTGCCGGAATTCACACGGGAGGCCTTTTATTACTAAATCCATTTGTAAGTTCATAAAGTGATACAAGTAGTGTGTATTCATTTAAAAAAAAAAAAAAATCCCAGTTATTCGTCACAACTTAACAGAATGACACCATTCATATCCAGTCGCTTCAGACTTGAATTCATGAACTCGGTCATTCTCTGAAAAGCAGTGTGTGCAACTGTCATTTTTTTTAAAAAGTCTATAATAATTGTCTTACTGTAAATCTATGAAGGCTGGGTATGTGTGGCAGTTTGGATATTTCAGGCTCTATTGGTTCAAGATCATGGTACATGAAATTTCTGAAAAAACACCATTAACACCATCCACAAAATATCAAAAGAAATATCAAAGAATGGTTTCAACAGAATCTGTCCATGCTTGACACAAATTATACACATAAAAAATGTACTTTGAAACTCTGCAACAAAACAGCTTTACTTTCAAGAAAAAAATGCTTATTCAATCATTTTCAAATTTGATTTCAGGAATAAACTTCACTGGTGTTGATCAAAACATTTGAAATTAAACATCAAAGGAGATTTTTTCATACCTTGAAACAGGCCTGCTACAAAAATGTAAAACTTTAAATGAGATCAGAATTCAGTGTTCCATATGCCTCCAAAATGGAGTCTTAAATCATGAAACAGATTTATGTGGAATCAGAAATCAGACAAGGCTACCAAGAATATGACATCTCTTGACAAAATACAACACCTTATGCAGGTCCCAAGTTGGTTTAGACAATTGTGATGACAACTCAAAGTGGAAATGCATTTCGATCAGGACTTCTTCGGCCATTACAAGAATGCTACCATCCATACTATGTCACATCAACTGAGCAAATTTTGCTGCTCTGTGAATTGGCTGTACTTTCATATCACTATAGCTCAAAAGTTGTTTGATCTGGGTTACAACATTCAGGGCTTACTAAAGCTTACTCAGTAACAAAATGTGAATCGACATTTTGGTTGCAAATGGATCTTTGTTTAAAGTTTTATGGTAATTTCCAAATTTGATGCATCAGTGACAAAAAATGATGTCTGATGCAATTCCCTATTTTGACTTGCCTTTTCACGTGTTTGTGATGGGTGCCACTGGTGGGCAGAATTGTACCGTGGACTCTGCTTTTGGCAGAGATATATGATTATGGAAAGGGTTTTGTTGCTTTTATTTCCAGAAAAAAAGGATGTTGCTCCAGCTGGAAATTTTTCTCGGAAATACATATTTCAAACATTGGAATTTTCTAATTTGAAATGCATTACAGCTTTGAAAAATCATATCAGAACAATTGTAACATACATTAAGGTATTTCTAATTCTGTGTTTTGGATATACAAAAATGTCTCTATCGTAATTTGAGTATTTTGATACAGCGTAGCATACTCTACTCTCTTGTAACAATAAATTATATGACACTCCAAAAGTGTAGTTATATATATGACTTATTCATCTCTCTATGAAAACACTCTTACCATCTTATTATCCATGTGTTAATGGCCAAGTACAAAGATAACACAATCAAATGAAATAACAATTTATGAATACATGTTCTTTTATTTTTGTAAGCAAAATAACAATTTCTGTATCAATGGAGAAAGCCAACAAGATAACAACATTCACAGAGCTCATCAACACCCTCAACGTAGGCCAACAACATTCATACAGAGCTGAACAACACCCTCAAAGTAGCCATACAACATTCACACAGGCCTCATCAACACCTTCAAAGTAGCCAGACAACAAAATTCATACAGACCTCATCAGCCCCCTCAGAGTAGCCATACAACATTCATGCAGACCTCAACACCCTCAATGTAGCCAGACAACAACATTCATACTGACCTCATCAGCACCCTCAAAGTAGCCAGACAACATCATTCATAGACCCCACCAGCACCCTTAAAGTAGCCAGACAACAACATTCATACAGAATTCATCAACACCATCAAAGTAGCCAGACAACAACATTCATACAGACTTCATCAGCACCCTCAAAGTAGCCAGACAACAACATTCATACTGACCTCATCAACACCCTCAAAGTAGCCAGACAACAACATTCATACAGACTTCATCAGCACCCTCAAAGTAGCCAGACAACAACATTCATGCAGACCTCATCAGCCCCCTCAGAGTAGCCAGAAAACAACATTCGTACAGACCTCATCAGCATCCTCAAAGTAGCCAGACAACAACATTCATACAGACCTCATCAGCACCCTCAAAGTAGCCAGACAACAACATTCATACAGAGCTGAACAACACCCTCATAGTAGCCAGACAACAACATTCATGCAGACCTCAACACCCTCAATGTAGGCAGACAACAACATTCATACAAACCTCATTGGCACCCTCAAAGTAGCCAGACAACAACATTCATACAGAATTCATCAACACCCTCAAAGTAGCCAGACAACAACATTCATACAGACCTCATCAACACCCTCAAAGTAGCCAGACAACAACATTCATACTGACCTCATCAGCACCCTCAAAGTAGCCAGACAACAACATTCATACAGACCTCAACAACACCCTGAATGTTGCCAGACAACAATATTCATACAGACCTCAACAACACCCTCAATGTTGCCAGACAACATTCATACTGACCTCATCAACACCCTCAAAGTAGCCAGACAACAACATTCATACAGACCTCAACACCCTCAATGTTGCCAGACAACAATATTCATACTGACCTCATCAGCACTCTCAAAGTAGCCAGACAACAACGTTAACACACAACTCATCAACACCCTCAAAGCAGCCAGACAACAACATTCAAACACAACTCATCAACACCCTTAAAGCAGCCAGACAACAACTATCCATTTCAGGAAACAAGAAGGCCTTGTGTAAAAGACATTGCAGTAAGCAAATCTAGCAGCATGCATTCACCTTCTCCTGTCATTAAAAATGTCATTTGAAGTCCATGTGCAAAGTGGAAAATCTTACCAGACCAGTTAGCATAGCTACTGTCTCATTATGTATTTTCTACATCATTTGCTGGCAGTTATTATTAGGATTGCAGACATTATGACCAAACAACACACTAAAGAACTATGTTCCAAGTCATGTCCTCTTTACTTGAATACAGTGATGCCCTGTTGATCTAGACAGTAACTTTCCTTGTGAAATGCCCACAATTACCTTTTTTCCTTACATGGAATAATTTTCCTTTGCATATATGTCCATTCCCAGCAGTATTCATCATCCACTTTCTGGGCCAAATGAACTAAAGTGTTTTCACTGTACATATATTTCACCCAAGCAAATACAGAGCGTCATTCTGTTATGGAAGTGATAGTTGCATTTCACTCTCGACCAACAGCAAGGGGACACAGTTCAAACACTTGTTTCCAATATGACAATGGCCATGACAGTTACATGACACAATTATCACATTCAAATTGCAATATTATCACTCGGATGTGACATTCATAATACACAAACAGTAATTATATCAGGACTTGTTGACATTGGCCGAGATGACACCCTCTGAATTGATGTTTAGGACTGAAGGGTCAAAGGGCTGGCCCTTGAAGGGCGAACCTTTGGCATCCCAGGCTTTCCGAAGCATTTCATGCTGTTTCTGGGGATGATAAAAACACTGATAAATATTATGTCCTTATAACATTCTCTATATCAAATACCGTAAAACATTCAAAACCATAAAGTAATCGAAAGAAGAAACCTAATCTATTATCTAAAAACATCACATCTTATCACTGTTGACAATTCACCTTGTAACAAGAGTAATTGTGAAAAAAGAGTAAATAATTAACAGATTATTACATCTCTATATCCTCCCTATTTTACAAAACCTGAGTCAGAAATACAAAAAATCTAGCTCTCTTGGCATCAGAAGCCCCTGCAATAAGTCAAAGCACTTAACTGAAATGTCATTTATTATTCATGACGTCATGTAACTTCATGACAATAACAGACTGACTGAGCTGATAAAGAAACCCAAATTTTTCTACATTTTATAACTAAAAAAAACCTATGGGTAACATATAGAATAATATATTACCTCGTAACAACTCTCCCTCATGAAATTGAAATAATGTTGAGTGCCACTCCCTAGGAGTGGGTTATTATAATTAATGCACTCAGGATAGACAACTGCTTGTAGCTCATAATTTCCTCCATAACAATTCTCAAATTGGAATTACAATTTTCAGAATTCATGTAAATAGTAATAACTAAGGCTATAAAAAATAACAGTCTTGGTTCTCAGGCACAGACCGCATCATCAAAAAGTTTGCCACACGTTTCGTTTTTATTTCCATTTTTTTTTTTAACCCCCCCCCCAAATCCTTAAATATTCCCAGTCCAACGGTAGTCAAATACTGTATTCCAGTATTTTGCTCATCAAGGAATACATTTATGTAGGAAGGCCCTTTCCCAGGTTGATTGTACCAATTGTTTATTGATTACACAACTGTTTATTGGTTACATAATAGCAAAATAGCATTATTTTCCCCAAATGTCTTGTCTTGGATAAATCCAAAGTATCCTCACCTGTTCATGTGACTGTGGAAGCCCTTGGCGTTTCTGCTGCTCATTGAACATCATCTCACCAATCTTGGCCTGGGCTTCATCATCAAGATCCGTCATAGGCCGACTGCAGTCAATGTTACGAACATTAATCTTAGGCTCGTCCTCTAATGCTGATTCCCACCATCTTTCTTCTCGTTTTTCTAAACTTACCTGAAAATCATCCATGGAATATTAGGACTTTGTAATTGAAGAAAGTAAAACAAGATATTTCAAGATAAAAAGAATTTTAGGGATAATGTTGGAAGAAGATAGTTTGACACTGCTTATCTCCCTTTACACTACAGAAGTTGGTCTCACAAGTGTTTCAACTAGAATTATTTAAAATGCAAAACTGGACATCATTTACAAACACAAAGGGAAAAGGGAAACCTTTAAGACAAAATATTTTTCATTCAAATTAAATGATCTTGTTTGCAATAAAACCGGACAAGACTACCATTTGTCAGACTTTTATTTTTGTGGAAGTCTCGGTGGCTGAGCGGGTTAGATCGCTGACTTTGTGTGCTGGCGATTAGGTGCCTCACTCTGGCAGTGTGGATTCGAATCCCGGACAGGACTCAACCAAAAAAAAGTACAAGAATCAGAAAGTGTTATCTCAAATATAACATTTGTTACATTTGACCACCACTTTCTAATTGGCATTGTGTGTTTGTAATTAATAAGGCTATGCCATTATATTGTAGTGGATATTGTATACACCCTGATGTTTCTGAGCACCATGGCATCTACACCCAAAAGGTAGTACCATCGAAGGAATATTTGTCTTCTGTGTGGGTTTTCATTTGTACTCATCGAAAGGAAGTCAACCATATCAGGAAGCTGATATCTGATTGGCTCAAGAACCCATGCATCCTTCATATAGATTGGGCAGTCAAAGTTCACTCAGGCTTCACCTGACGCAACCTCCTATAGAGGAGTCCTCGGATCTTCAAGCAGATAGCAATATACCAGAGTAAAAGATGTGATTTTAATGAGTTTGCACCAAGAATGGGCCTCTTATCATCTGCAGAATCTGACTTACATGTACGTGTTCGGCAGGAACCAAACTCCACATACATTCCTCTTTGTTGACATCCCAGGTCAGATTACCATCTACGACTGTCTGAGACACATTCTTGTCGTCACGGTAACACACTCGCAGATGCCGTTTCTCAATGGTTACTTCAACCTGCTTTCCTTTCTTAATGTACGGTGGCACCTGTAATAATGATTCAGATAACCTGTTAAACACATTAACAGGTACATTATTTTAATATATGATCATACACAACTTAAGACACCCAACATGCCCAAGTTATCTTAGTTATGACCTTTTAAGGTAATGATCAAGCTCTTCAGAGTCTAAAATATAGCCCACACATCAATTTTTCAATATTATTTATCAATTGAGCAATTGACTAACCTTCTGCTACATGACACCACCATGTATTATTAATAAAAAAAACCAGTAAGCAATGGTCATGATGGTTACCAAACTCAATTTATGTTTTTTGAATTTTAAGGTCTTTCAAGGCAGACAGCTAAATTCGATGTTCTAAGTTCTATTGTTAGAAATATGACAAACTTTTATCTCTCTCTACTTCAATAATTCCAAAACGTATTCAGCTATTGTTGCTCTTGTTAACACCGGAAAGCTGTTTGATATTAAAAAAACCCCTAATAATTGCCGTATGAGTAATGTTTCCACTTACAAAGATTCGAATATCAGCATCTGTTATTGACTGTGACCAGACATACTTCTCCCTCACAGCGCCATTGTAACTCATTGGGTTATCCTGGAATGCCTGCTGCTCCCTATAATTGATCGACATGGAAACATTTCACTCAAACCTGTAGGCCAATATCTCAAAATTGTATAACAATGAATATTCTTAAGCTTATCAATCATGCTTATTAGACCAAAAGACATTTTACAAGCCTCAGGCTTCTGAGTAGTGGCTGAAGACTGTGCTTGAGTTTTATGCTCCCCAGGAAGGTGTGCATACAATAGAAATTGTACACTTTATAAAAAAATGTATATTTATATACTTTTCCTACCTAACACTGTGCATTTCTTCTTATTCTTTGATCCTGGTGTAGAAACACCCCAGAACAAAGTTTCCAGCTTCAAAATACAACTTACCCCTACACATCACCAAGTCACCACTGTGTTCATGGGTTACGTACCACTACAATCCCGTGCAACACGAACCCTGTGATCTGATCACCTGACATATCCAGCACCCTCATTCTCAATCTAGGGCATACAGGCTGGTGTAACTATGGTTGGGATGGTTGGGTGGGCATTACGTGTTTAAAATAGGATAAGTATTTAAATATACAATATATTGTAAAATTACAAATTTTTAAACTTATCCTATCTCACACTATGCATGTATCCCACGGTTGGAGGGTGGGGCGCAGATACCCTAGTCTGTAAAAGGACCTCAACCATGAGCATAATGAGTCATACACATGGAAATTGGAACGAAACAATGATTAAATTCAAGGATTTCACATGGCTTAAACTTGTTTAAGGGTTGCTTCAGAAGCCCTCTTTGTGGTACAGCATGACCTTGGGTAATCATGCATTCCATGGTTTCACACAGGACGTCAATCCAAAGAACGAACGCATAACCATAAGCAAGCAGAAGAACCCAGTCAGGAACAAAGTTACATGGTGGAAGAGTCAACCGGCATGGTTGACTCACCCGAGGCAGATCCTGTAGTGAAGGAGACGGTCCTAGAAGAGGAAGATCTGGCTCCACGGTTGCAAGTCCTTCTCAAAGGGAAGTGATGGAAAGATGACTTTTCTTTTTTCTTTTTGCAAGATGACAAAGGCACAGTCACATGGAATTACACAATCCATTGGGTTGTTTCGTGGAGGAAGGCCCATGCTTAAACCAAGGATCAGCGCCGCCCATTTTAAACACTTGCAAAGGTAAGCATGGTAAGTTTTGAAAGCCGATTCTGACAGGGTAACACACTGCTGACATCATGTATCAATATCACACACTCAACGACAATCACAACAAATAGGATGGGGGAGCAAGCGGAAAAAACAGGCGATTGCAGTCTGTGCAGAGGGTGCTCACAACTCCATATTGTAAACATATATTCAAGGTAATGTTAGACAGAAGTGGTAGCTCTGAGTTAAAAAAAAAGAAAAAAGTATTCTCTGTTAGCTATAACTTCCGACAGAATTGAGAATGAGGTGCTATATACATGATATATGTCAGGTGATCAGACCGCAGGGGTCGTGTTGCACATGATTGCAGTTGTGTGTAACCCATGGTCACAGTGGTGACCTTGTGATGTATGGGATGTGTTGGGGTGGTTTTTTAAAAGCTGGAAACTTTGTTCTGGGGCGTTTCCACACCAGGATCAAAGACTAAGAAGAAATGCATAGTGTGAGATAGGATAAGTGTAATAATTGAACACTTTAATTTGACATGTATGTTGAACGGGGTCATATGTCATTAACTTTTAGCATAGCCCTATGTAGTGTGGAGTTGCTTAATATTATTGTCAAGCAGACAGTATCATGTTATGGTCAAGACAGCAACCTACTTGGAAGTTACTGTGCCTGTATCTTCATCCTTCTTCTGACTTGGTAGAGTCTTCACATCACCAGCACCAACTGTGGAGGGGACAGTGGTATCGGTGGCATGTGGTGCTGTTGCTTTTGGTGTGGAGACAGTAGCAGGAATGTTAGTTTTGGATGTGGTTGTTGTCTCACGGGTAACTGGTGGTTGTGTCGGTGCAGCTTTTTGATGAAGAAATATGTAAATAAGTGAAGATACACAGTAAGGTGTAAGTAAATGCAGTTTTAGTCTATAGTCTGAAGCACTGATATCAAGTGGCCTGAAAGTTGGCTGTGGATGGACCAGGCAAATATGAAGTAAACCATGAAGCATGGACATAATACTATCTAAAACAATTGCAAGAGATTCTGTGTGGGGTTGGGACAAGTCCGAATTTACTCCCCGGGACACTAGGTTGTCAAGGGTGGGAAACAGACTTTTATAGTCAGTTGACACCCTTGCCTCAGTAAGATGACCCTACCCAGGTACTCGCTGCTTGGGAATTGTTTTACTGGAGCTCTGAATGATCATGCATACACAGAAATGACTGAAGCTTTTATCTTTCACGAGTGCGCCAACATGACCAGCGTTAGAAATTGGCACTAGTCCTATAGTCCTTGCCAAACTGCCCAATAGTTAAGGTATCATAAGGACTAGTAGAAATTTGCCATTTTTTGCTACATGTTATCATGATAAGGGCAAGTAGACTAAAAGTGTTAGTTTCTACCGCTGATGACCCGCCTGTACTTTTTCAATGCGTCATATAAAACTTTAGTGCACCAATGACGCAAGGGCATGGCCTAGAATGAACACTGGACTTTGTATTAATTATTGTCCACATATCTATTTATAACTATAAGAACTGTTTTCATTAAATCTTTGCGTTTTTGGTGCAGTTAACATGTATGGCGTCTGAAAAAAGTGTGTGTGTGAATATGTGTGCCCTTTGTTCAACCTAGGACAGGGCAATACTTACTTTTGGCCAAACTTGTATCAGCCTTTTTCTTCTCTCTTTCCATCTCATCCTTCTGAGCTAATGCTTCATACTTCTGGAATTCCTGATTAGAATTGAAAAAGGAACAGACATTTGAATTAAAAGCACTTATGATCATGATAATTGTGAATAAAAACAAAATCATTTTAACATAAGGTAATAATATTCTTAAAAGGGTCACAAGTTAAACTAAAATAATGGTTTATTGGACATGTTTGATATTACTTTGAAACTGTTTGTCATGTTGTGATGTTGATAATAAATATGTTACTGCAATAACATGCATTTATTATTGTCAAGTCACTATATAACAGAAATAATGCTGATGCGACGTTAAATTCTAACTCACTCACTATTATTGGTCAACTTAAACACTTAGTTCAAAACAAGTTAAATTATAGTTTCTTGTCCATTGTGAAAAGTGAGATCAATTTCAGGGGAAAAGATTGATTGTTGTGACAGTAGAATAATATTAATACATGGGATGTTAATCACATTATACATGTTATATAATTTACATCCACTTATAAATGCTTGGTAACACCACTTTGAAATTGATTGTGACATGGCATGTCAGCTTAGTCATGTCAATTATCATATACTGACCTTCAATAGTAGTTTAGCTGCAGTTCCTGGTGGAAAACCAAGCTTGTCATCTTTGCTTTTCATGATGCGGAAAAAGTCTGTCCTGTGAGAATAGAGAATGTTATTGTCATTGTTATTTGTATCATCATCATGAATGTAATAAAAGGGTTATAGCGAAAACGGCACCTCAGCAAAATGTCACAGGGCGAAAACAGCACCAACTGGCGAAAACGGCACCTCGACTCAAGCGAAAACGGCTACTATTGCCTGGTGAAAATGGCACCTTATTTTTTTACACCTTGGTCAAATAAATGATAATAAACTTACATAAAACAAGTAAGAAATTAGACCCCTTTTCCAATTTACTCGCCGACTCTGATGGGTAGGCGCAGTTAACTTATTGTGAAAACACTGTACGCTTTGAAGTTTTAAGTACTTTTACTCAATTTAAGCTGAAACTGTATTTAAGAGGCCAAACATGGTGCTGTCAGATCACAATTATTCACAATGGCCTTTCGATGTGTTGCATGCGAGAAGAATGTCAGAAAAAATCAACATGCTGTATCATGTGCTTACTGTGGTCCGTAAAAAAGAAATTTGACGGACAGAAGAAGACTTCCCTTTCCGCTGTTTGAGATGCGTAGATCCCATCATTGAAAAGGTGATCGGTAACTTTGATGTCAGTTTCCAATCAGAAGATGCAGAAGAAATGAGAGTACCAAACCAGGTACCAGGAAAGTGTTGACAGCAATTCAAGTCCGAGTTGAGGTATTAATATTGTTGTTATAACTGATTGATGTATTGTTCTCGGTAATTTACAATAAGCTCTCAATTACATGTTGAATAGTTTATTGTTACAGTAGAGTAATTGAACGTATTATGTTTTAGGTAAAGGAACAAGCTGTTGAAAACATCTACAAATTGGGCGCCAGTATCGTTGAAGATGCTCAACAGAGACTCGTCGACCCTGAACAGGCTGGTGGACACCAAAACCACTCAACCCTCATTCGCATGGCGAACTGAACCCGGGAACTGTTGCGCCCCAAAGAGCGAGGACTTTGGACTACTAATAATAAAGTAAACTACATAATGCTATTGTATAAATTCTCAGAATAACCGCAATTTTGTAACAGAACGAATATTGTATTTTAACTTTTATTCATATTTTCAGATTGCCGAGGACTTCTTACCTGTCCGTATTAATACATCACATACATCCTATAACATGTAAATACATCAAATACCATGTAAATAAACCATATATATTACTACAAAAATCGTTCTTATCATTATTAAAAATAGAGGTGCCGTTTTCGCCCGACACATAGTAGCCGTTTTCGCCAAACAATGCCAAATGCAGTGCCGTTTTCGCCAGAGAAATCGGTGACGTTTTGCTGAGGTGCCGTTTTAGCCTGCACCCGTAATAAAATAAGGCACTTCAACTTACATCAGTAAAAGATAATATTTTCAGACTTACATTTGTCATGCGTTTGAAACAACAAATCAATCCATCGGCATCTAAAAGGTCACCTTACAGAATACACTATTACAAGTCCTGGCCCACTGTGTGTTCGGTGACAACTTGGTGATGGCTCTGATTGTACCAGCTGCGTACAAGACATTCTGCTATATAATTACCAAACTTGAATAAAATCTTTAGGAAATTTTGGAATTCAATCAATCAATGTCCTAGAATATACACCGATCTAAAATGGCTTAGCTGAAACTTCCAGCAAAGCTATTTTAGATCGGTAAGTGAAACATGCTGGTCATTTGTCTGGGAAATATCAGCGGATATTGATAAATTAATGCCGGTGAGGTGAAATAATATCAAACAGGCTTATCACCTACAACTGTATAGGCAGACACTTTACAGCTATGGCAGAATACATGTCAGACGAAAGGTAGGTCCTATCATCACAAATGATCACTGAAAGAGGCTTGCTTGGTTCACTCGTTGAGAAGTCCGAGTTTGACAGACGGTAAGTAGCAGGTACACAAACAAGGTGATTAAGTAACTAACCTTCTGTATAGGAATCCGATAACTACATCCAGAAAATTGGTAATCTCGCCTTCATTCGACAATATTCCAAGAAGTGTGGAATCGTATGTTTCGCGTACGCTTGCCATGACCGTATTTTTCAGTTTGTTTACAGCGTTCGCGTGGCGGAAGTCAAATTTCAGGCTCACAAGGAAACGATAACCAACGAGAGTGGTGAAAAGAGAATATTGTGATAAATCAGGCAATTAAAAAGCATTTTATTCAGAGATGACAACAGATACTATACTTGGGAATATATCTAGATCAGTATATACGGAGGAAAGCGTGAAATTAACGCTATAATCGGATAACCAGAATGCACCATTCTTCATGGCCGCGCCCATTAGATTCTAGCATGTCGCTTCCCATTCGGTATATCTTTGCTGTCGCATCACTGGGATTGTTGTCAGCAGGCATATACGACTACCTAAAGAACTTTGAAGAAAATGGATGTGAAATGACATGGATGTTTGAATATCCAAAATATATTGTGCGTGTTTGGTGTCTTTTAGTTTTCTTGTGTAGGGCTAAAAGACGCGCCAGTTTGTTCCGACATTCAAAAACGAAGAAATAATCCCAAATTCCATTGCTCATTAGCAAAATTATTCAACCCAATGACATGACACCTAAGTTTCCTGGTCGAAATTGTGTGTCCTATTGTTATTAGTCCCAAACATGGATGAGCTACATGACTCGACTACCGGCTTATGAACGGGTCAAGGTTGAGGGCACCCAGCTCTGTTGGTGTCAACTTGACTGTCTCACACGAGCAATAGCCCCCCCCCCCCCCCACACACACCCAGCCTTGATATTGCTGGAATATTACTGTAATAGCGGTTTAAAATCCTACTCACTTCTAGATATAGCATAGATAGATGTAGATGTTGTACTAAGTGCTTTGTATAGTATTGGGGCATTATCTCATTGTAATAAGGGTAGTTGTGAGGTTGGGTGTGGGTTAGTTGTCGCTTCTTGTGAATAATTAATTCAATGTAATTTGAGGAAAATCAGTACAAATTTTATCAAGTTTCATGTTTGTGCATGAAGGTTGTCAATTGTGTGCTGATCATTTGGTAAAGGAAGTACTTCCCAAACAATTATTAACCCACCTCCATATGTGAATATTGGACACAAAGAGTAAGACACAACATTCGCAGAATTATTCCATTATAAACACAACCTCACCAAAATCGCTCTTAATAATGCAGGCATCATCTTGACATTTATATACTCTGCAAAAAAAAGAAACGAAAAAATTGATTTAAAATGTAAATTTTATATTTTTTGTTTTTGTTTTGTTTGTTTGTTGTTTAACGCCGCAATACATCAGCAATATTCCAGCTATATGACGCCGGTCTGTAAAATAATCGAGTCTGGACTAGACAATCCAGTGATTGACATTATGAGCATCGATCCACGCAATTGGGATCGATGACATGCATCAACCAAGTCAGCGAGCCTGACCACCCGATCCCGTTAGTCGCCTTTGACGACAAGCATAGTCGCCTTTTACAGCAAGTATGGGTTGCTGAAGACCTATTCTACCCTGGAATCTTCACGGTTCAAATTTTATATGTCATATAAATGATCAACAGAAGGTAATTGATTGTTCAAAATTGGCATACATCATTGTCATTGAACAGTAGCTTTCCAAGGGGATTGTTATCTGTGCTCAATATCTTGTATGGCCACCATTAGAGTCCAAAACTGCCTGGCATTGTTGTCCCATGGAAGCAATCAGATCCTGAATTGTGGCCTGAGGAATGTTCACCCACTCTGCCTGTGGTGCTTGTGCCAACTGTCAGATTTTCTTGGTTGTTGCTGACATGCCCGCTCTCGTTGATCCAGTGCACCCATAAATGTTCGATTGAGTTTAAATCTGGAGACCTGGAGGACCATGGCAGGACCTGGATGTTGGGATTCCTGAAGAAGGCTGTTGTTAGTCATACAGTGTGAGGTTGGGCGTTGGAAAATGATGTTCACTTGTTGCATGGTAGGATGTGTGGCCGAAGAATCTCATCTCATGTAACATTGTGCCGTTAAATTCCCCAGAACTTGCACCAAATCTGTTCTACCAGTGTAGGAGATAGCAGCCAACATCGTCAAACTATGACCACCAAATCTGTCTGCTTCCTGTGTGCAGTTTCCTGCATAACGTTCCCCATTATGATGCCTGTAAACACGACTTCTACCATCCGCACTGTGAGGCATAAAACGCGATTCGTCACTAAACCAATCTTGTCTCCATCGCAGTTGTGGCCATACTCTGTGACCTTGACATAATTGACGTCGCATCCGATGATGCAGGTCCTTCAATATAACGCCTCAAACTTGTTGTCTTGCGAAAATATCTTCAGCATATACATTGTCTAGGCTGATATCGTAGTTGCCGTAGTTGTAGAGGTGGCTGTGGGAGTTCTTTCACATAAGTGACATAACCATATGAGTCTGTCCTGTGCGCTAGTTGTGATACATGGTTGACTGGACCTGGGAAGGTTACATGTTTGTAATGGTGCTTGGTGCTATGTGGGGAAAAAACTGGCTATGGCCATAGATCATTCTCCTGTTTGCAGTCAGCCAATGATGTTGTTGCGTTGGGTTTCCATCAGTTGTGGTATGTTTTGCAGTTCACTTGCTGTAAAATTGTGATGGCATACAAATGAAAACCCAATGTTTTTATAGCCCCAAAAGTGATGTTGCATGTGCATGTCACATTGGTGTGTTTTGGCGCCAGGCACTCATGTGGTTGTGTTTTTGGGATTTTCCATCCTTTCACCAAATTTCTGCAATACCTCATTCTTTCTTTCCACCCAAATTATTCCCAATCCATGCAGCAATGACCAATTCAATTTTGGTATCAATTTTGTATGGATATATTTTGCGTTTCTTTTTTTTGCAGAGTATATAACATTTAAAAACAATTCATGGTAGCTTTCACACTGATATTAAATTGATTTTAATTGTGTGTTTTTTTATCTCCTTGTGAATATATTACAATGATTAAAATATTATCATATTGCATAACACCTGAAATGACAAAAACTTGGTGCTGTCTCACCATGCTCATTCTTAGGGTAGCCATCAAGCAGTATTCCCATGCTGGGTTTATCCCCAACAAAGGCTTATATTATTGAGTTATACACCTGAGTACAGCAACAGTGAAAACTGACAACACTGATTACAACTTTGCTTCTTTACCAAACACATCAACACCCAAAATGGCACCATGTTTGTGGGAGATGCATTTTGCAAATTATGTATTTATCATGCAGTTATGGTTAAAATATATCTGCAAAATACAGTTTTCAAATACAGTATACTACAGTTATAACAAACTCAATTTGTGTATTTGTTTTGTTTTTGTAAATTTAGTGTGCATTGTTTTTATGAGATTATTTCAGGATTGACACAATAATGATGAAATATGTGTAGATTTGTGTAGATTTGTGTACAAAGGAGACATAAAAATGCTTACTTAAATTTCTTAGTTTTTCTGTTGTTTTCTTCTGATATTAAAATACCATACTAGATATATAATACATGCATATGGACAATAAAAAGGGTTAATGAAAATGTGATTTTGTTTCTAATCAGTTTTTGACTGGCCATTTTGGTGCATTCCTTCCATATTATTCTGCTATGTTTAGCATCACTTGGTTTTCTTCATGTAATCCTACCGGGTAGTTTTAATCATTTTTGTTACAGACTAGCAACTGTAGCCATAGATACCAACTTAATGTTACTAACATAATGTAAAGGAGCCCTTGTGGGTAACATGGTCAAGTATATAAAATGAGATAAACTTGACAAGGTGACCAACAGATCATCCCTCGGGAAAGGGAGGGTGGTATTAACTAATTCAAGCACATTTGGTGGCCTTCACAACTGAAAACATGGTGCATATCAACACAGTTCCACCTGCAACAAATATAGAAATGACTATGCCCCTTGTAGATAACACAATTTAAGAGTTATCTCCCCTTCTTAAAGGTTACCCTAAAACACATCCAGACAAATTACCTCCCCTTGACCAGGTTTAAAACAAATAAGAGGATTATTTTTCCCTAGAAAAGTAGTGTTGTGGGCAGAAAGGGATTTCCACTTTGACATATTTAAGTTACATGTTACTTAATGTCTTTCAGCATTTGGATATCATTTGATGGCGACCTTTAAGAGGATGTTGTGATAATGAATTGAGTCTTAGGTTATTAAGATAATATTTGCATCAAGAAATTACACTTTCCTATAATAATCAAGTAGTTTACAATAATTGAAACTGATAATAATGTTTGTTAAATCACAATTTAATAAAAGAGGTTACTATATAAAACTAATTTTCAATTTCATCAACACTTTCTTTCCGGTTAATTCCCAAAGCATTTAAGTCTTCTACTCCGAACTTGTCAATTGCCATCATTTTAGTGGATTTTAATGTTAAAATGTATGATATAGGAACTTTGATTTGAAATTTAGCTGGACACAGACCTCAAACTGGTGCGTAAAGCTTCACTGCCAATTAGACACTGCAGATTTAAACACTTTGACTGCCCAGGTAGACATGTTGACTCTATATCCATGGGCATGAACTGCTGTGAATCCTTTTATCATATTACTAGAAAATATGATGTTGAAATGAAAAAAAGGGATAATAAAAAAGTCAAATATAGAATTATGTTGTGAGTGAGAGAATAAATTCAAATACACTAATCCGCTCTCCCAAATAAAAATAACTAAATAAATTATGCATTGTTTGAATTTTGACATCATGCCAAAGCATACTCTATCCCTCCTTTGCAAGCTAGATTTGTCACTGACATACTTCAATTTTTTTCACAGAAAGTTCATATGGATGATGCAGTAGCTCGCAGATTTCCACAATATGGGCTCCACATATACGGAGAGGGGTAAGACAATGAACATGCCTTTATGCCGTGGTTTACATGTCCCAAGATAGCTTCAAATATATACCTTATTGTAAATCCAAGAACTTGAGCACAAAAACCTTTGATTTAGGATTTTCTTTGTATCTGTATAAAAGATTTTCAAACTACTGTTTGATGGAATATATCACTGTGCCTACTATTTTGATTTGAACTTCTATTTATGGAGTCAAATGCTAACTTTACTGTAGAGACATTCAGGATATCATCACCTGGATCCTAAAGCTGCCTTGAAAGTTACTGCTGGAGCACTTATTTGGTCATCTGTAAAATGATAAATCTCACCTTGCATCAACAGAAGGAAGGATACAGGAAATGCTTCCTATTCAGTCTTCTTTAGTTTCTGGGTATTTTATGTTTCAGTGAATATGCAAGGAAAGTTAGGTAAGTATTTACATTACTGCTCTCTTGCCATGCTTGTGACATTTATCATGTTTATACCAAATATAAATTATAATGCATTACATTCTGGAATTGTATTCTATTTGTGAACAAAATATTGGAGCATGTGTGGAATGTAAATAAATAAACTGATGTTTATCACATGTTTTCTACAACACTGTAGATAGTTTACCCACCTATTGCATGTATTGCAACCTCTTACATGAAAGACTTCAATAAATGTTTGGTTACTATGTTGATCATTGCTCCCTTTCTATCCTTATCAAGGGGCGGTCGGGTAGCCTAGTGGTTAAAGCGTTCGCTCGTCAAGCGGAAGACCTGGGTTCGATTCCCGACATGGGTACAATGTGTGAAGCCCATTTCTGGTGTCCCCCGCCATGATATTGCTGGAATATTGCTAAAAGCGGCGTAAAACCATACTCACTCACTCACTCACTATCCTTATCATTATTGTTTGCCTCAGTTCCTTGAAGTTGACTGGAGTTCCTGTGCTCTTCATTCCTGGGAATGCTGGTAGTTATCGCCAAGGTAATACCTCAAATTCAACATAGGGCGAGGCCAATTTTGTATCTTAAAGTTTGTTTTGTTTATTCATTGTTTAATGAAGCACTCAGCAATATTCCAGCTATATGACATCAGTCAGTAAATAAGAGAGTCTGGACCAGACGCGGTTCGGATGCGATGACATGTATGAACCAAGTCACGGCGCCTGATCACCCGATTCAGTTAGTCGCCTCTTACCACCAGCTTGGGTTGCTGAAGACCAGTTCTAATTATATCTTAAATGATTTTTCTAGGATACAAAAAAGAAATGGAACAATCATGGGGATTTCTTTTCACAGACGGGCGGTCGGGTAGCCTAGTGGTTAAAGCATTCGCTTGTCATGCCGATGACCCAGGTTCGATTCACGACATGGTACAATGTGTGAAGCCAATGTCTGGTGTCCCCCACCTTGATATTGCTGGAATATTGCTAAAAGCGGCGTAAAACCATACTCACTCACTCTTTTCACAGAAAACATGGACATTGTTTGCTGTACGTATTGGATGTACTGAAAACACAATGCGTTGTTCAGAAGATAAAATTGTTCAGGTCTTGTATGAATTGTACAGTGACCCAAACATAACAATGACCCAATCAATCAATGATCGCTCCCTCATCCTCTATGTTTTCAGTCCGATCCCTGGCATCAGTGGCACTCAGGAAGGCAGAGTCATCTCGCTCAAAGTTCGAATTTAACTACTTCTCTGTCAATCTTAATGAGGTAAGTGTGACAAATTTTGCAAAATACAACATGCACCAATCCAACCTATTATTTAGTGAAAACAATTCAACATGTTCAAGTTTTTTGTCTGACGAAACCTTACTTGTCCACACACAAAATCGATCTTTGAACACACTCGGGTTACAATAGGTCTTCAGAAACTCATGCTTGTCTTAAGAGTCTACTTTGTTTTTGGGAAGAGGTGACTAACGGGATCGGGTGGTCAGGCTCGCTCACTCACTTGTCATCGTATCCCAATTACATAGATTGATGCTCATTAGGGCTGTGCATTCGGTTCCAAATTCAATTTAGCGCAGTTAAATCTACAGGTAACCTAGCTCTACATTGAAAACACAGGACGTTTATATCCTAATTAATGTGGGTGATTTCACAGGGAATGGAACTGTCCAGATTTATCATTGTCTTCCCAAATCTTCACTCTTCTCAATCCCTGTGGAGATTCCTGTTTAGAAAAAGCCCCATAGGCCTCATGTTTCAAGAGACCGCCTCTGTGGTCTAGTGGAAGAGGGTCCGCCTGGAGAGCAGAAGGTCCAGGTCCATCCCCGTCCGCGTCATACCAAAAGACTTAAAAAGGTGGTACTTGTTGTTACCCTGTCTGGCGCTCGGCATTAAGGGGCTAAAACAAGGACTTGCCGGCTCGGAGTCAGTATACTGTGTCTGAGTGGGGTATTCATGTTAAACTGCGGCATGAAATCTCAGTGGGCTAGCACTATAAATCGGCATCAATTCGGACTAGTACAAGCAGCCACACGCACACACTTGCATGCACATTGCTATATAAGTTCAATAATCTTGGACGTGACGTTAAACCCATTTCACCTCACCTCACATGTTTCAAGAGGCAACTAAATGCATCGGGCGTCATCAAACCCTGTACCCACTGGTTTGCCTGGTCTCAACCTTGTTATTTACAGGCCACCATCATATACGGTAGCTGGAATATTGCTGAATGTTGTTTTATTGGACGATAAACAACACCCACTTGTCGTCTATTTCTTAAATAAAACTTGTTCAATGTAAAATACAATATAACACATAAGGATATTTTGATTAGGCCTTAATTGTGAATGGCATACATTGAAATGATGAACATGATGAAATACTCGAAATGAAGCTGACTTATTATAAGGTATGATCATTACGTTATTGATTCTGGCCATGTTTCATATGTTGTGTGTAATCCACAGGAGCTTGTCGGCCTGTTTGGGGGGTTGATTCAAGATCAGACAGGTAAGACGTGTACTCATCTCTGCTTCCTTAATACCAGTATGTATCTAGGAGTGATTATTGATGTGTTTGAAATTAGGGTTGGGGTGGGGATGGTGGGATCCTGTAGTACTTTGAGAAACACACTCATTTACTCATTTTGTCCGATACACAGTTATGAACAATTCAAGCTAAGTGTATTTGGGATCAAAACAAACTGAAATGCAAGTTATTAACAGTATTTCTGTTGTTTTATTTCATCTGTCAATACCATCAGTGCATGTAGCATGACATCAATGGTAACTAGCGGTACTTCAGCTTGTCATCGATGTACCATATTTTCTGCGCATAATATTCAAATTTTATTTTAACCAAGATACTGAATCTGATAGAGAGTGTGTGTGTGTGTGTGTGTGTGTGTGTGTGTGTGTGTGTGTGTGTGTGTGTGTGTGTGTGTGTGTGTGTGTGTGTGTGTGTGTGTGTGTGTGTGTGTGTGTGTGTGTGTGTGTGTGCGCATTATACTTGGGTGCTCACTATACTCCAGAAAATCTGGTATTGTCATCGGGTCATGAACATTGGGGATTCATCAGTGTTTTCTTCAATAGTTACACCCCTATATCATTGCTGTATCTGCATCACTCATTATTCAAGTGCGGGCGGTCGAGTAGCCTAGTGGTTAAAGCGTTCGCACGTCATGCCGAAGATCTGGGTTCGGTTCCCAACATGGGTACAATGTGTGAAGCCCACATCTGATGTCCCTCGCCATGATATTGCTGGAATACTGCTTAAAGCAGCGTAAAACCAAACTCACTCACTCAAGTGAAGCACTGAATGTTTAAAAATTTAAAGTGCCTTGTCACTGATTGATCAGCCTGGAAAATGTGATCAGTTTTCTGCCACTGAAGCATCAACAAACACATCCTGCAAAAAGATTTTGTAAACAAGATGATATTATCAATCAATCACAGGATTTTTTCCTGTTTTGTTGCCAGATTGTAGGCAGACTGGCCTGTTGTACAAGTAACTGAATGTGCTGAGCATGTGTTCTGTTGACAGAGTTTGTCCATGAGTGCATCAAGCTGATTCTGACTTTCTATGCTGGAGCACCCAAACCTCCGACATCTGTCATCCTAGTGGGACATTCCATGGTAAGAGGGGCCATTTGGTTCTTTATGCTTACTGTAATGTGAATGTTAAAGATTTATTAATCAAGCTCAAATACAGCTCTTTGGTAAAGGTGCACTTTCTGATCACACGTAAACGTACAATTGCAAGATGAATGCAAATAGTCCAGGAAGCAACTTGGTTGTGGTAGTTTGTTAAGTTTGTTGAAAACATGTTACCAATTGGGTAAGTTACTGGTATGTGTTGTATTGTGTTTACACTTACTATATCTGATCATATATGAAGTGGCCAGCATCCCCTTCCACCCATACAATCCATCCATACACCCACATCCTGTCTGCCAATCCATCCATCGCTCACATTCCATCCCCCCACTAATCCACAAATCCATCCAACCACATTCCATCTACCCACCAACCCATCCATACCCACATTCCATCTGCCACTCCATCCACCACTCCATCCACCACTCCATCCACCACTCCATCCACCACTCCATCCACCACTCACATTCCATCTACCCACCAACCCATCCATACCCACATTCCATCTGCCACTCCATCCACCACTCCATCCACCACTCACATTCTATCCACCCACCAACCCATCCATACACCCACATTCCACCTGCCACTCAATCCATCTGTCCAACCACAATCCATCCACGCACCAATCCACCCAAACACAAATCCACCCATCTACCAATCAATCATTTACCAATCGACTAATCCACCCATCTGCATCCAATCATCCACCCTAATTCAACCCATTGTACTTTACAGGGAGGGCTGTTAGCTAGAGCCTTGTTCACCCTGCCTACATTTGACCCAAGTCTTGTGACAACCATCATCACTCAAGCCACACCCCACCAGGCCCCAGGTGCGTGACCCCAGCGATGGGATCTGTAGGCCATCATCTGGCTCGTTATTAGTATGTTTGGAGGAGTATTGATATCATGTATCAAGCAGGCACAGGTGGTTCAGTGGTCTAAGGTACGGTCTTTGCAGTCCTTAACCATGCTAGGATCTACTGTTGGTTGGTTCGAATCTTAACTGAGCCAAGATTATCCTTATCCTTGGTTTATCAGCTGGAATATTATTTTATATTAATTTATTTGTTTGCATTTCATACAGAAGGACAATGATTTCCATTTTAAAGAAAAAGTAAATGACGCGATCACTTAAATTTGAAACATCTCTCTAAACTCACACTCATAAGTGCCGTACATTTGGAGATGAAATAATGCTGCTTAAGCTGGAATATGCTGAATGAGCCATGTCATTTTCTCTCTATATTTCATGGGGCGGTCGGGTAGCCTAGTGGTTAAAGCGTTAGCTCGTCACGCCGAAGACCCGGGTTCGATTCCCGACATGGGTACAATGTGTGAAGCCCATTTCTGGTGTCCCCCGCCGTGATATTGCTGGAATATTGCTAAAAGCGGCTTAAAACCTCACTCACTCACTCACTCTATATTTCATCTTCCCGAGTCAAGCGTGTGCACTAGCCTATATAAAAAAATAGTCTCTACCCTTGCCACATCAAGGACACTTTTCTTGGCTCGACCCTGGCACCACCTTGCTGTGATCATGAGTTGTAGCCCCTTGTAAGGTAAACGCGATATGCAATCAGGTCAATGTTCTTTTCTCGTCTAGCTTTATAAACTTGAGACCGCCTCCGTGGTCTTGTGGTAGAGCGTCCGCCCGGAGAGCGGAAGGTCCAGGGTTCGATACAAAAAGACGTTAAAAGATTGTACTTGTTGTTACCCTGTCTGGCGCTCGGCATTAAGGGGCTGAAACAAGGACTGGTCGGCTCGGAGTCAGTATACTGTGTCTGAGTGGGGTATTCATGTTAAACTGCGGCATGGTATCTCAGTGAGCTAGCACTATAAATCGGCATCAGTCCGGACTAGTACAAGCAGCCACACACACAAATACACGTGCACGCACGTCGCTATATAAGTGCAATAATCTTGGACGCGACGTTAAACCCAATTTCACCTCACCTTTATAAACTTGACTACTACCATGTCGATCAGATAACGAAAACATTCATGATTTCATCCCAGACACAAAAACGTAGGCAATTGTTGCGGGGTTTAAGAGATGAAAAAGACATATTCCTGTCAACAAAGACAGGCAGCTGTAAATCGTTTTCATACGAGGGTGTACCAGTGGTGGATGTTGATTTTGTGGAACATTCTCTGATTGGACTTGATATGTGAGTTAGCCCAATCATATTTAGCACAGGAAAGTGGGCATGATGTTGCAAGGGTGGAAACAAGACTTTGACTATCTTGCATCGGGAAGATGTCTATATTTATGAAATATTCCTTGATTAAATTTGAGGAAAATTCTTTCTTTATTTCTTTAACATTTTCTATTGGCATTTGTTTATCAGGGTATAACTTGGAAGTCAGTTTGTTTTTGTGTTTTTTCCACAGATGTTAATGTATGGTAGGGTTGATGAACCTGTCTGAATTTTCAGCTATTGCCATTGATAATGTGCTGAGCAGTTTCTACGATGAGATCAACACATACTGGCGACTCCATGCCAACAGCACACTCCGTGACGTGACAGTTGTCAGTACAGGGGGCGGGTACAGAGACATCCTAGTCAGGAATGGCCTCACAACGCTCAAAGGGGTATGATGCACATTTACTGGCTAGAAATTAATCTGAAATGTCAGCGAGAGTGGTAATTGCACACAAGAATGTTTTAGTTTGAATACAGATCCATGAGATATCTTTATGTCAATGTGCTAAGTTGTGTCCCTTTAATATCCCACTGACTTCTGCTTGTAAGTTTGAGTCTCAAGTACGCCCTTATCGTGATATCCACTGGTGCTGGTGGGTCGCAGGCTGGAACATTTTTAATGCAGCAACAATAAATTTTAACTCATACACTCACACATCAGAGTGGTAAATGCCTACAAACCGTGCCACTTTGGTAAAAGAATTTATGGATGTTAATGTCGTTTTGGAGTAAATGCTCACACCTTCAGTAAGTGAATGAAGGAGTATGCATGTACTCCGAAACATTGTGTTCCTCATAATAAGGAGTTGACATCCATAAATTCTCTTCCTTATGTGTATCACTTCTAAATGCCTTTCAAAGACTTGTGCCACTTTGGACATTGGAAAACCACTTTAACTGTGTTTTTTCTCTACTTGACAAAATACACGACATATGTAGTGCCCCTAAACATCTATGCTTCAGAAGTCTTAAACAGATTTTGTTAAAAAAAAAAGAAAAAAGAAAGAAGATCCCTTATGCCTCCTGCTGCAAATAGTTGAGAGAAAATTGATGAAAATCTCAGGATTAATTTATTGTTGCGTAATAGGACTAAAATACTGTTCAGTGCAGTGTTAAATTCTTAAGACGAAGTGACTCAGGCCAGTGTTTATTTCCATCTTAGGTTCGTATAACTCTGACTTGACTCAGTAGTAAACCACCCCAGGTGTCAAAGTCCCCAGCACCCAATGCTTGTAGTCAGAATCTACTACTGTGGATTGTGTGGCCAGGGGCTTACTGCATGGCAGGAATTGTTGCCCATACTTCGTCTCAGGTTTGCCTGGTCCAGACTGTTATTTACAGGCCACTCGGCTAATAATCTCTCTCTACATGTACAGCTGATATTGAAGAGACCTTTTAAAGAGTGTATGGTAAGATATATTCCATACTTTTCAATTGTACCCCAGTAGATGTCTATGTGATAGTTTATGTCTTTTGCTGTCAGTTACTGTCTAAGAGTTTTTATGTTTCTGTTTACAGGTTGTGAGTCAGGATAGAGGAGTCAGCACATCTGTGAGTATCTTTGACTCTGTTTAGCTAGTGATGACAATATTAACTGTGGTCTTTGTCTCGTCTCACTCCATCCAATAGGACCTCGGTCGTTTTTAATCAGCACACTTGATCTGTACATGTAAGAGGGGGCAAGGGCATTTGTGGGGGGCTTCTGGGTTAGAATAGGTCCCCAGCAGCCGAGGCTGGTCATAAGAGGCAACTAAATGGATCAGGTGGTCAGGCTCTGTGACTTGGTTGATGTCATCTCGGGTGGCCCAGTCGTCTAAGGCGCCGCGATTCACTGTGCAGAGTTGCGCCCCTTGGGCGTGCCAGAAACATAAGATTTTGGGTTCGAATCCCAGTTCGCCCAGATTATTTTTCTAGATTTGTCAGCACCATACCCGTGCTCGTTGGTTTGACCGAAGTGGTAAACATCTGAGACCTGCATCACTTCGGGCTTTCCTCCCACATTAAGCTGACACGCCGTGATATAACTGGAATACTGTTAAAAGCGGCGTTAAACCCAACTCACTCACTCACTGATGTCATCTCATTGACAATATCAGTCACTGGATTGTCTCATCCAGACTTGATATATTTATAGGCTGCCTTCAAAACGCTGGAATGCTGCTGATTGAGGCAACAAACAAGCATACAAGATGACACATTAGTCTATGTTCTTATCGTTAGGCATTGTCAGAATCTATGATTGAGGGTTTGATTGCTAGTTTTTATCTGAGTAAGATTCTATTTTGTGAGCACAATACATGTGGTCATGTATCACACCAAAGTACTTGAAGCTCTCATCCAATACTGAAATACTGTTCATCCTGAAATACTGTTCAAAGCCAACTAATACACTCACTGCACATGTATCGTGTATAAGGTAGCTGTGTAGTGTTTCTTATGGTAATAATGTTATTTCTACATTCAGACAATGTCGGTTCCCAAAGCCTGGGTTTCCACTGATCATCTGTGTGCTGTATGGTAAGGGGTCAATCTCTGTTCCAGCATTTCTTGAAGCATTTCCTTTTGTTATTTCCTACCACAATATAGAAATGGGTACTGCCCGCCTGTCATGTTTTGTTTCTGTAGCAATACTTACAGACCATTTCTCGATCAAAAGTGTTCACAGTTTAGCCATATACTGCAGCTGTTTACTTAGAATTTTTTTGCTTATTTAAATGACCTAAAACTAGAAAACTACTTCATGGATTCTTTTCAAATTTGGTGAACAGTTTCTATATTAAAGTTTATCAAAGTTTAATTTTGATACATGTATTTTCTGAAAGAAATATTGCTTTTTTCATGTTTTGAACTTTGAAATATGTTGGCAGTTAAAGTCAGGGGTATTAGTGAGCCCTGCTCACTTTTTGTCTTGTTAAAAGTTTTGTTTTGTGAAGTTGATGATTCTTCTGCTTCATGTATTTCAGGTGTAGACAGATGGTTCTTGTGACTAAAAGAGCCATGTTTGATATCATCGATCCTAACACACACCAGGTGAGAAATTGAATGTGTCTTTGTCATGCTACTTCAGAAACCTTCCTTGTATGGTGTAGCTCCACAACTTCTGTTGTGCTGTTTTATAACGCCAAGTAATGGAACTATTTTTTGTATGTTTTTTCTTGCAGAATCGTCCACATTTAGGTGTTATGTCAGGATATGTCTAAAAAATTGAAGGAATTAATTTTTATATCCCACATTCATCTGTTGAACTGCTCATTGAGAGACCACAAGAATGTATGTTGGGGTGGTAATTCTGTTTTGTGACAGGATTTCTCTGATAACCGTCACCCCCATCCATTCAGATCATTGTACCATGCAAGTGGAATCAATTAATAGAGGGTCATTGAAGAAAATGTATGTTATAGTTTTTGATATCAGTTGGATGGCACAGATGTGTATACAGGTGTAGAGGAGTGCGCAAGTGTACCCACACCCTTTTTGAAGCATACCAAATATGTGCAGAGTTGCTTTCCTTTGTCATGCCAGAGTCTGATTCCCAGCCTCGACCTGATTAGGTCCCTTTGTTTGTCCACACCATACCAGTGCTCATGGGTTTCACCAAAGCAGTAAATATCCACAACATGCATCACTTTGAACTTTCCTCCCATATTAAGCTGGCATACTTGCTGTGATAGAGCTGAAATACTGCTCAAAGCTCACTCACTGACTTTTTTTATGGGTAGATTCTACGTTAATATAAAAGTGTGCTGTAGAGTTGAGGCAATAATCAATCTGTGATTGACTATGTTGCAGGTGACTACAGATGCTGACAGGAGGATGCATGTGTTCCGACACCACTTCCTGTCTAACTCTGGCAGTCAGAAACTCCGGGAAAACATACCAGGGGAGATGACTCTTGATCCAAAGATTCCATGGGAAGTCAAACAGGACAAACTGTTCAGATTCAGTGCTGAAAAAGTGAGACTATTTATTATGAATTGCAGTGGGGACTGTATTCAATTGTGAATTGTTTAAAGTAGGGACAGAGTATTTTATCCCACCAAGTACTCAAAATCATGTCACTAGACAAGTTCGGGCTAGTGAAGGTTTGGCACAGGCTGTAAATGCTGGGAAATTTGTCAACTAAGGATACTGAATGTAAAATTTACCGAAAAACTGTCTGCATACTTTAAAAGATGATGGTTATTTTATTAGCTTTGTTGTCTTTTCATAATTAAGAAATGTTTCTGTCGATCAGATGTCATCAACCAAGTACTTTGCTATCCCCGTGATACGAGAGACAGAAGAATCAGCAGTGGAGATTGACTCTGTTATCATCATGAGCAACATTGTAAGTTGTGTCAACTGACTCCATAGAAGGAGGATCTTTGTTTGTAATCATGTTCATTGGCAGACATGGTGATCTCTTGAAAATGGGTTTTATTCAATTCCTACTACAAACTTTAGCTTTTTGTATTGTTATTGTTGTTGTTGTTTACATGGTGTGTTCTTAGTAAGAATGTGTTTTCCTTTCCAGACTAGAGATGACTGGGTGTGTGCATGTACCTTGAAGAAGAACCAAGACAGATGGTATGTTGATTTGGTTTTGCTTGTATATTTGCTACAGTGTTTCCCACTGATACAGTTTCTGGGGCATTATGTGCCTCCGACATTCCACGCTTGTCCCTAGAGCTGACTTAATGGGGAATGGATGGTTACAATGTGTGACCTGGTTGATAGTTTCTTGTACTATGGACCACTTGTCTGCCTGTTCAAGCCTCCATAATTTCCCGACCACCATGATATAGCTGACTGCTGTATGAATGGTTACACACTTGCTTACATATGAAGGTCTCTGAAAAAAAAGAGGTAGGATGCAAGCACACACTCTTCGCTCTATCTGTGCGTTGTCACACTGAAATAATGTCTGATTTCATCTGTGTTTATATCGTTAGAATAAATTCTGATTTCAGCACAAGCTGCATCAATCTTTCAGCCAAAGCTCAATCTCTGCCGCCTACCTACTCCAATAAAAAGGTATGCCTTGACTATATCATGTATACTATTGAATGGTTCAGTCAACTGCACCTGTATTTAGAGGCACGGGTGGCCTCCCAGTGGTGTTTGTTGTTTCCTCTTAGTTTCTCTCCCTGCAGAGTTGTCTTCTCTTATTTATTCTTTGTGCAGAGTTGTTTCCCCTTTTTACTTTTTCGGCAGAGTTGTGTCCCTTTCGTTACACTTTCTGCACTTATCCAGTTACCTTTTTTGCAGAGTTGTCTGACCTTGACTTTCAGGATCCTTGTTTGTCAGCACTTTAGCCTATGCTTGTGATGATACTTTCACAGCTTCTCATGCTTATTGATTTTGTCCAACATTCAAACCTCATTGGCCTGGATATCTTCAAAATATTGCAATATATGTGATGACTTTGTTGCCTTCATCTTTAGACCGCCTCCATTGTCTAATAGTAGGGCATTCACCTGGAGAACAGAAGGTCGAGGGTTTGATACCCGGCTGCGCCATTACAAAAACAAAAGATGGTACTTCTTGTTACCCTGTCTGGCGCTCGGCATAAAGGGGCTAAAACAAGGACTAGTCGGCTCGGAGTCAGTATACTCTGTCTGAGTGGGGTATTCATGTTAAACTGCGGCATGATATCTCAGTGGGCTAGCACTATAAATCGGCATTAGTCCGGACTAGTACAAACAGCCACACACACACGTCCATGCAGGTTGCTATATAAGTGCAATAATTTAACCTCACCTTCATCTTTATGAACGTCGCTATATACGGTAAGTGCAATAATCTTTGATGTGATGTTAAACCCCATTTCACCTCACTTCACCTCATTTTTATTACATTGGTTGTTGGGTTTATAACAAATCATATACTGGAGACTTTAGCATGTTTTCAATCTTATAAATTATGCATTATAATATTGATCATTTCAGGTTATAAAAATGTACTTGAAGGAACTAGGGGAGGCAACTCATATTGTTGTCATTGCTGCTCACTCAAAACAGAAGGTAGGTCCAGAAGGTTTGTCTCATCCTTTATGATAATATTCTAGAACTAATTTGTTATTCATAAGCAAATCATATTGTATGTTTAAGATTTGTTAGAGATATGACCTTTCTATCAGATGTTTCAACAAATGAAACAAAAGGTCTATATATATGTATGTGTGACATACCCAAAAGAAAAGCACCATGACCATGATAAGTCAGTCTTTATTAAGTCTTCAATAGTTTCTTGAGGGCATTGGTTGTCCAGTCATCAGGTGCTGCAATTCACAGTGCAGGATTGAGTCCTTTAGGCATGGCAGAAACCTGTGATTGTGGGTTTGAATCCCAGATTTGCTCTGATTATGTTTGTTGGTTTGTAGGCACCATATCTGTACCACCCACCCACCCACCCAACCAACCAACCATTATTAGTAAATTAACCCGACCCGTGTGAACTGAATTCCTCAAGAGACATGGATCCACATGTCTGAATTTTGTTTATGACTGAAGCGGCTGGTATCAATCATGACACCAAGCTTGGAGAATTCTATTTCAATTTCTCCTTATAGTTTCCCCTGTAGGGATTTGTGGGGAGAATAAGTCCCCGGTACCCAAGAGTCCATTTAGGGACCGACCACTTGATACTCTGGAGGGATTTAAGAATAATAAAAAATAACTATTCATGTTGGATGTCCTGGAAAAGATATGTTGTTATTCCCTCTCAAATTATATGCCTCTTCAGAGAAGCAAAATTGAACGTTTTCAAGCAGTGACAAAAAAATTATTCTGTCTTCAAAAAATATCTTGGCTTCAGCTCCCAGAATATTAAATAGTTGGTCCCTTATAAAGACCATGTGGTTCTGATATGTGACGTATCTGATTAAAATTAACCTGTGTAAAATAACATTCAGGCTCTCACTTACGAAAGATTGAGAGTTCTATTTACTTTTCTCCAAGGTTCTCAAAGGCCTTGAATTTTGCAGTCCGTCCTTGAAAAGGCCTAACATAGAGATAAAATGGCCTTTAATTTAGCAAGCATGTTTAATTCTGCAGTTAAATAAATATATCCAAATAATATTTGTCCCTCATGTAGTAAATGATTAGTCCATAACGATAAATGATATTGAAAGCTGTGTGTGTACTGCCTCTGTGGTCTTGTGGTAGAGCGTCCGACGGAGAGAGGAAGATCGGGGCTCGATCCCCGGCTGCATCATACCAAAAGACGTTAAAAGATGGTACTTGTTGTTACCCTGTCTGGTGATCGGCATTAAGGGGCTAAAACAAGGACTGGTCGGCTCGGAGTCAGTATACTGTGTCTGAGTAGGGTATTCATGTTAAACTGCGGCATAGTATCTCAGTGAGCTAGCACTATAAAGTCGGCATTAGTTCGGACTAGTACAAACAGCCCCACGCACACGTCCATGCATGTTGCTATATAAGTGCAATAATTTAACCTCACCTTCATCTTTATGAACGGCGCTATATACGGTAGTTACATCACATCTTTGATGTGAAGTTAATCCCCATTTCACCTCACCTCATTTTTATTACATTGGTTGTTGGGTTTATTACTATCATATACATATTACCCTGTCTGGTGATCGGCATTAAGGGGCTAAAACAAGGACTGGTCGGCTCGGAGTCAGTATACTGTGTCTGAGTGGAGTATTCATGTTAAACTGTGGCATGCTATCTCAGTGAGCTAGCACTATAAATTGGCATCAGTACTAGTCACTAGTACAAGCAGCCACACACACACACACAAACACCAATAATCTTGGACGCGACGTTAAACCCAATTTCACCTCACCTCACATAAAAGCTATGTGTACATGAATATTTTTATAGCATATTTGGACATGTTGGATGTACAAATGGAGGCATTCTGACATAGAAATAAAGTAAGAATGTCTCAAGAAATTTGTTTGAAAGCAGACTGTGTCTTGAGAAGGCCTGAAAAAGGCCTTAGATATGGTTGCTCAAATTGTTAATGAAGCATATTCTCTCTTTCTATGATGCAGGTGGAAGTGTTAGTTGAGCAGTACCCCATGATTGAACGCCATCTCATATTTGGCCTGCCAGGGATATACGACACGATCATATCCTACCCGGTCAGTGTGCTGGACATGGCGGCCATGTTGCAGATCCGCAACGACTCCGTGTACTACAGCCTGCATCTGGCCGGACTGGAAGGCCCCTTGAGGGCTTACACCGCACAAATCATTCCTCGCAGGTGTCGCAAACTCCATGCAGGTGGGCACTGGGCACTGGGCAGTCTGCCACTTTGGCATCTTGTCTGAAACCCGAGACTTGTTAAATATCCTTATATTACTTAAGGCTTAAAAAAAATAAAAGAATTGATTCTCAGGCAATGGCTTTTGAAAATATGGTGTGGACAGGCGACTTTTTTGTGTGTGTTTTATTTGTTGTTGTTCCAACTTGTATGTAACCAAATAAACAGCTGTGTACCATCAACCTGGGAAAGGGCCTCCCTACATAAATGCATTCCTTGATGAGTAAAATACAGTATTTGACTACGAGTGTGTGCATAATACACGCATACAATGAGCTTCGATGTTATTTCACAACACAAAGACATTGTCGTGAGCACGTAACACTGGTAGTAGCATGTCAACAAAACCATACTGAAGTATGGAAGTTGGTCCTGTTATTACACTATCTGGCTGTGAAAGTGTTCAATGTGTAAAATGTAGAGAAAATGTAAATTTGTAAATCATCATGTCTAGTGATGTTTTATCATAGATTTCATGTTTTTATAGACCAAATTTGCAAACAGCAAAACAAGCACACAAACTCCTACTGCCACCCTAACCATAACATGAGCAGTGCGCATGTAAACATCTCAAAGGGATATATCTTATCCTTACTATGTAAAGGGAAGTAACTGCATGCTATATTGGTTTGTCTTATTTTTAGTATTGCAGCATTTCACTGCCGGGGTCATGTTTTTGACACACAGAATATTTACCCATTTTTGGGGGGGTGGGGGGTGGGGGGAAGTGGAAATGAAAACGAAATGTGCGGCAGACTGTGATGATGTGGCGGTGCCTGAGATGCAGGGCTATTTAAATTTTTTTTAACCTAATCAAAAATGGTCTAAAATATAAAACGACTGAATTCATTTTTACATGTAACTACATCATAAACATATACACACTTAGTGTGATTAAAATAGGATTCTTAAAGGTAGGTTAATTATTTTAGCCTCTTTGTGATTTTGATTATGATTATTATCATTAAGCGTTGTGTATATATCTGTGTTTCAGCTGAGTATGAGGGGATTGTATACACTCTGAATGTTCCCTGGAGTAACGAAAGCACCTACGGATTCAGCAAGTAAGTGCCACATTATCAGGAGGATATTTCTTTGAAGCATCAACGTTTCATGTTAAACCACAATCGCTGGTTTTTTTTTCATGAACATAAATGTGCAACTTAATTTCATTTGGCATCAGTTTGTTGGTCTGGTCTGTTTACTGTGAAAAAATATACCGAGTAAGCTGATTCTTTTTAAAATGTCGATGTTTACATTTTTCCCTAACCTATTAATATCTTTGCAACAGTACTGTCAGCAACATGCAGTAATCTTTTTATGTGATGTTGGCTGTGGCCAGAGACTATACACATTGCATTGAGTATAATTTTGAAGTTATTTAAAAAAACAACAACTTTTGTTTGAAGTTGTATCTTTCATAACAACTGAGTGGTCGACAAATACCAAATAAATATATACTGTTTTTTCATGTATTTGTATTATGGCCTTTGGCTACGGTCAGTCAAATCCATAAATCAACAAATGAAAGTGTAGCCTTCGTAAAAATAAATATGTATTGCCACTGGGTTGCATTATACAATGGTTTTATGGGGTTTACAATGGGAAACAGCAAGACATTATTATACGAGCATCTGTGTCATACTGATTTTATGAAATGAATGTCAGAACTCTTGTATTTCCTGAGCGAGTAAAGTAATACATGATTTCTTACACAGGTTTTGTACAATAAATATGACACACATATGACTCTTTATTTAATACCCTTTAGGTCTTAAACCTTTTGAACTCCCCCTTAGAAAAATTCCCTTATCGGAACGCCATCTTACACAATAGTCGAATGATGTCAACAATCTTCAGCTATGACGTCGTTTCTTGTATGACATCATTCTGACCTTAAATCACAGTAACATTTGAATGAGGTCAACGATGCCGTCTGGAAGACATAAACAGTACACTGGTGCCTGTGAAGTGCTATTTGCACTAGTGCTCTTAGGATTTTTATAAACTCGGCTATTTCTAAATCTATGGATAATAAGCTCAGTTATCAATCCCTGTGTATCATAAACAAATATGAACCATGAGGGTGCATCCTATGACCTGTTTTCAGGTACCGCGAGACTGCACATCTCCCGGTGAAGGTGCAGAGCGGCAAGCCACGTGATGCCGAGGACGAGGCGGTTCACCTGGAGATGTTCCTCCACCCATCCTGCTCGTACCACCTCAAGCTGACCACGTCACCGGTACACGTCATGGGGCAGGTAGGCGTTGCACTTCTCCAACTTGCTCTGATGGTTGCCTAAGGGCACCTTCATACTGAATGTTGTATACGGGTGCCGTGATGATCTCATCCAGTTAGCATGGTTCTTAGTCCTTAGGCTTAGCAAAAAGTTGGGCACTTTGTCATACAAGTATGAAACTTGGCACACAGTACGTCCCAAAACAATTTGATTCAAGGTTGGACTCCAAACCAATTTGACATCTGGCAGTCCTGGTGGACATTTTTTTAAATGGCTGCCGACCAAATTTCAATCTCATATCTTGACTAAAAACAAAGATAAGTTTCTTATTTTGGTGCCTTTATCTTTGACCAAATAAATCACAAAATTGTTGCATTAGTTGAACTTATGATGACACATTACTTGAGGCCTGAACTTGTGGACTGCCTCTGTGTTCTAGTGGTAGAGCATCTGCAGCCACACACATCGGTATATAAGTGCACTTATCTTGGACGTGATGTTAAACCCCATTTCACTTCACTTCACCTGAACTTGTGGTTTGACAGCACTCACTGCAGACTTCTATGGTAAAGCTGTGACAGGGCAGGTGAAGCAGCTGTAAAATCTCTCTTGTCTTGTTTGTGTGTGTTTGGGTTTGTGTGTGGAGAATGTACTGTATCACCACTTATCCCTCTCATCTAACAGCTTACATCTGTCTGTGTAGTTTGTGTGGAGAAAACATTCTACAGTAGATGAAACAAATGTCTTTTTCATTCTAGTCTTGTAGTCAATACAGTGAAACCCTGTTAATCCGGACAGATTCCATCCCAGTGAAATCGTCCAGATTAACAAGTTTCTAGATTAAATAAACATGTTTACAGACCTTTTGCATGCTTCCCAGCTGTATTCATCCAGAAGGTGTTGTTCCAAGATTCACAGGGTCAGGACAAAGAAAGTGTCAATGATTATGTATACGCCAATTCCTTGTTACAAACTCAGATACGCACACAGGCATGTTCTACTATTTTGTTCAAGTCTTCAAGGCAATATTTTGTCCCTGTCGTTCGATCGTCATGGTGAAGCTTGGTTCATTTCTGCACATAATTGATATGTGTGAAGTCAGTGGTTAGTGTATTCCCACTATCACATTAAAATCACATAAAATCAGTGTCAAACCTCATTCACATTTAATTTTGCAACCCGCAAGTACATCCAACCCTTGAATAAATGTATTTTGTGTAAGACCAGTTAGCCCTGAGATGTTACTTCAATCTGCCACTTTGAGAATACACTTCACATCTTGGTCAACACTCTTTGATGTCAGTTTCATTGAGAACATTATGGATTTGTTGATAATTGCCAGATGTGCCTGATCAATTCTTTGTCCTACTTGATGTTGTTAAAAAGGTGTTATAAAATGAGTTGTTTTGCACCTTGTGAGCATCACTCCTGAACGTGAGGGGGCGGTGGGGTAGCCTGGTGCTAGGCTCATCATGCACATTCTTGGGGGCCCTACTGTCGCTGGAATATTGCTTGGAGTAGCATGATGTGACTCACTCAGTTGAAGATGTTAGGGTAACTAGGCAAATGTCATGAACCATATTCGACATAATAAGCGCCCACGGCGATATTTGCAAATATATTGGCTAGTGAACAATCCTAATTAGCACCCCTACCGATTGATCAATGTACACAAGACTTATTTATTATTCGTGTATAATACGTGTGTTATATGCATTCTTAATTATTGGAAATTAAAATCTGGAAAAATATATATGGTTTGTATATAAACATTTCAGGCTGTCAGCATGAACCACAAAATTCAGGATCTTTCAACTCTGTTGTTTTTCACCAAAATAATTTTCACCTAATTATGTTGAATATCATTATAGGCCTTTGAAAACATTTTGAAGAAAAGGTGAAGAGCCTTTGACAATACTTTGACAATATGATAATATATGTTTTCAATATTTCAGAGTTGTAGGTATAATATGGACATCTGTTTGATTTGTGTAAGTAGGATGTGGAAACACATACTAGCAAGGCTAGCTTGTGTCTCATGTCTGAGTGATATGGCTGGAACAGTGCTGATGAATGCCTGTAACAACCTACGAAAACAATGTTACAGACCTGGTTTTACATTATATTGAGGACCCACTCAGTAAAGGGTACAGTCTAGTTCCCTTTGAAATCCCTAACTGACAGAAGCTCACTCACAGGAGACTGGGTATAGTCTAGCATGTCTCCAGAAGGGCGCATGAGGGGTGGCTGAATAGTTCTAAGCCTAACTACAAAGGATGTACAGTCCATCCTTAACAGTTTGCATGTATTAAGTCGATACTTTCCATGCTTATAAGGCTGCACTTAAACCAACTCCATAACCAGGCAGTATATTTCTGCAGGCATCAAAGTGACTAGGTCTTCTGTTGATGGAAATGGGGAGAATTGACTACCTTGCTATCATCAAGTATACCCAAGTGGACATGGTGTCAACTTTAAGGGATGATGCTCTTCCTTTACATCTGTTCAGAGATGGGCAGTGGAGTTCAAGAAAGAGCCTCAGAGGTGATCAAAGGTCAGGAAGACCTTCAACTGTCACCACTATGAAAAATGTTGATAAAATACTTCATATCATTATGGATGATCGCCAACTGACCACACATCCCATAGGCTCCCATCTTTCCTGAGAGAAGGGAACAATTTGTAAGAAAGGATGAGTCCTGGACCCACTTGCACAAAGCGATATGAGCACTATGATTATCGTAAGCCTATGTTAAAGTATGGGAGTTCATCTTAGTGCTAAGATCGTTTTGTGCAAGGGGGCCCTGGGTTCATCACTATCAGCCAGAGATTGAAGAACAGTCAAAGCAGTGGAAACATCTAACACCTCCTCTGAAGAAAAAGGCAAAGTCTGTTCCATTACCTGACAAAGTGATGGCTTCGGTTTTCTGGTGTTCCAAAGGAATCCTACTGATGAACTACCTCAAAAACAGTCAAAACATTAATAGCCAAAATCATGCTAATATGCTCAGGCAACTGTTTGAGAATATCAAGGCTAAATGTCAAGGAAAATGCATGAAAGCTGTGTTGTTCCACCAGGACAGTGCACCTGTGCACAAGTCTGTTGTTGCCATGGATGCAGTGCGTACTGTGGCTTTGAACTCATTGAACATCTTCTGTATTGAGATGGCACTGTCAGATTTCCAACTTTTCCCAAACCTGAAGAAAGAACTGTCTTACAAGCATTATGCACACGATGATGACATCATTTCTGATGTGGAGTACTTTTTTCACCACCTGGAGGAAGCCTTCTACACTAATGGGATCTGGGTACTCCAGCATTGTCAGCAATTTGTGGACTCTGTAAGGGAAAACACTGAAAAATAATTAGCAATCAACTCCATCAATGCAGTCCATGGTTTGGCTCAGAACTTCACTGCCACCCCTCATAGTTCCATGACAGACCCAGTTTGGTATTTGACTCAGAAGAGACTGGGTACAGTCTAGCTTTTCTCGAGATGTTCACATATTAGACCAGGTTGATATTTGACAGAGAACCTCATTTTCTCTAATTCTAAGTGCCCAAATTCAGTGTAGCAACTCCCAAGAGATTAGGTCATGTGCCGTCTGCAAGTGGTCACCTAGAGCCTAATCTGTTTCAACTAAGTTACTAGCGGACAGCGTCAGCTAAATGACCCATTGGAACATGATTCTTGTAACATTATCTAGCTGAAACTCAATTGTCTTTAAATTGGGCAAGATTATTCTTGGACTGTACACTTGGTGGACACTCAAGTCTTAATTGTCTAGCTTAATACAATTTTGATTCCTATGACTGGTTGTGTGTCTGAGGAGTGATATGATTGTTCCAGCATGGCTGAAAGGAATGAAGTGTCCAGAACAGCTATATCATTATCCTTCATGTCTGTCCAGTTATATTTCAGTACTTCAAATTGCAAGGTTTTTTTGTTGGTTGGTTAATGCTGGACTCAGCAATATCCCAGCTATATGCCACAGTGACATCATGAGTATTGCTGTCCACACTAATGAGGTTTCATGACATGCAATCAACTAAGACACCAAGCCTGACCACCCGATGCATTCAGATGCCTCTTTCGATAAGCATGGGTTTCAGGGGACCTGTATTCTTCCCTGGTATGCCCACAGATGTACAATAAGAAGGTTATAAGACATGGAGGGTATGAGGGCTTAAGGAGGGGTAATTTTTAGGACAGTTGAAAACTATTGTGTCGAACTTTATATCCGGTTCCAGTGAATTCCTACAATTTGTGCCTTTATTTGATCTCTTACTTACTGTCATGTTATCTCTCATAACACTCTCTCACTGTCATGTTAACTCTCACTGTAGTGTTAAACTTCACAACACTCACTCACTGTAGTGTTAAAGCTCTCAACACTCACTGTAGTGTTAAAGCTATCAACACTGACTTTAGTGTTAAACTTCTCAACACTCCCTGTAGTATTAAACGTCACAACTCTCACTCACTGTAGTGTTTAACCACACAACTCTCACTCACTGTGACTGCCTCCATGGTCTAGTGGTAGAGCATCCGCCCGGAGAGCAGAAGGTCCAGGGTTCGATCCCCGGCCGCGTCATACCAAAAGACGTTAAAAGTTGGTACTTGTTACCCTGTCTGGCGCTCGGCATTAAGGGGCTAAAACAAGGACTGGTCGGCTCGGAGTCAGTATACTGTGTCTGAGTGGGGTATTCATGTTAAACTGCGTCATGAAATCTCAGTGGGCTAGCACTATAAATCGGCATCAGTCCAGACTAGTACAATCCGCCACACAAACACACACACGTACATGCACGTCGCTATATAAGTGCAATAATCTTGGATGCGACGTTAAACCCCATTTCATCTCACCTCACTCACTGTAGTGTTAAACCACACAACTCTCACTCACTGTAGTGTAACCACAGAACTCTCACCCACTGTCGTGTTAAACCACACAACTCTCACTCACTGTTGTGTTAAACCACACAACTCTCACTCACTGTAGTGTTAAACCACACAACT